CATCAATTCCCTATTTTTCTGGTGCTTGCCCCACTTAATTGCAGATGAGAGCTATTCCTTAGCATTGGATTAATGTTTTCTAGTATCTCCTTTCTTTCAAAAAATGATAGAACTTTATATCCAGGGAAGAATGGAAGATGTGGAGTACATATTTGAGATTTAAAAATTACTCAGCTTTTTAAATATTTGTACTCCAAAAATAATATGAAAGAAAATGAATGTTATTTGCCTTCTTGTGTTTTCATTTTCATTATCAACTTAAAAATCCTTTGACACATTTTTAAGCATGAAAAATAGAGTATTAAAAATTAATACTTTAGCTTTGGATTTAAATAATTTTTTATACTTTAAATTTAAGCTAATTGAAAAATTTAGCATTTTATGTACAAAATAAGCAAGCAGACATTTATATGTATTTGCAAATGCCATATGTTTTAGTTGCATATCAGGTTTCTTATTGAAGATTGTCTCTGTAGTGATTGTTAGTAAATCACAAACACTTTCAGGATTAATACAAGGGAAATGAATTTGCATTTCATTTATATATCAAAGTAGCTTTTTTTTTGCTTTCAATTCGATGTTAGACTTAAACTTTTTACCTGATAATGGTAAATTTTCATTCTTTTTAACTTACATATAGGGAAGATACTTGCTTATTGTGAAATAATTATTGATACAAAGATTAGAATAATTTTATGAACATTAAATAGAACTTCCCATTTTTTCCATGGAAAAAATAAGCAGTTTTGTGATTTTATTTTTGCAAGAATATATTTCTTTTCTTAAATTTTTATTAGTCAAACACTATAAGGTACAGTTGTAGACTTACAAATTTTTGTGCTTGGGTTTCAGTTATACAATGATTGAATACCCATCCCTCCACCAGTGCCCATTCTACATCACCACCAGTTCCAGTATCCCTCCCTCCTCCCATCTCCCCATCCCACCCTACCTCTGTGGCAGGGCATTCCCTTTTGTTACCTTTCTCCTTTTGAGTGCTGTGGTTTACAAAAGAGACATTGAGTGGCAATCTTGTTCGGTCTATAGTCTACTATCATCACGCATTTTCCATCCTGAGAGGAACCTCCCCACACCCCTTATTTGGTGCTCCCTTCTCTAATCTGAGCTGCCTTTTCCCCTAGCATGTGTGGCTATCCTCAAAGCCATGGAGTAATCCTCCTGGTACTTATCTTAGCTATTCTTGGGTGTTAGTCTCCTATTTTGTTACTTTATGTTCCCCAGATGAATGCAATCTTTCTATGTCTGTCCCTTTCTTTCTGACTCATTTCGCTTAGCATGATACTTTCCGTGTAGTACCACTTGTATATGAATTTCATGACTTCATCTTTTCTAACAGCTGCATAGTACTCCATTGTGTAGATGTACCAAAGTTTCTTTAACCAGTCATCTGTTCTCAGGCACTCAGGTTTTTTTCCAGATTCTAGCTATTGTAAAGAGTTTGCAAGAATATTCTTATTTTAATTATTTATACACATGTAGGGCAAATGATGGAGTGTGTAAGCAATTGTTTGCAGAGTTTTGTACCCAAGACTTTTCTTATTCTGTGTTTCTTTTGGGGACTCACGCTGGCCTCTGTACTCAAGGATCACTCCTGGTGTTGACTGAGAGCCTATATAAAGGCCCTCCCGTTGATCGTCGATTTGCTCGAGCGGGCCCAGTAACGTCTCCATTGGAGACTTTATTGTTACTGTGTCTGGCATATCAAATGCTCTCGGTAGCTTGCCAGGCTCTCCGAGAGGGGCGGAGGATTGAACTCGGGTCGGTCATGTTGGCCGCTTGTAAGGCGAACGCCATACCCGCTGTGCTATCGCTCCAGCCCGAGAGCCTATATATGGAGCCTATATATGGTTCAATCGAACCTGGGCCAGCTACCTGTAAGGCAACCATCAGTCCCACTGTACTCTCTCTGTAGTCCCTGTTAAGTTTTAATTCTTTATTTGGGCTATACCTTGTTGTGTTCAAGGCTTACCCCTGGATTTGTGCTCAGAGTCCAATTCAGTGTTTCTCAGAGGACAGTATGCGTGTCAGAGGTTGAATCTGGATTGGCCATTGCAATCGTACTCTCTGTATGATCTCTTCAGCTCCTGAGACTTTTCTAACTACATGTCACAAAGAGGGAGATAAATTTATAAGATTAAAGAGATTCACTGGGGGAGAAAATAGAAATATCACTTCAAAACTTAACTTATAAGTTCCTTATATCTAAATCATTACTTTATAGGTCTTTGGGAAATTTAGGAAACACTAAGTTATATATTTTTCAGTCTATTAGTATAATATTCTTAAATTTTTATTTTATGTTTCAGGAAATTGAGGAAGCACACTGAACAAAATATACAACGGCTGAGAAAAGCATTGTGGAGAGTTATCATGATGTGTTTTCTTAAGTTTTTTTCTAAGAAAAATTGAAGACTTGATGTAATATACTCAGACTAAATATTTTTTTAATTTGAGCTTAATTCAATTCTTGAGAGGCATATAATAAAATAAGAATGTCTACTTAGTGTTTTATTTCTCTTTCTAAAGTAAACTGACATGGAAAATTGTCGAGAAAAAAATTAAGAAATAAGTATAACTTTTCAATGAAAACATAATTTCTCATCTAAGTACTGATACCTACGCATTTTCTAAATCTCTATTAGGAGAGCACTCTTTCTTGCCTGTCATGTTCCACTGACAACTCTAGTTGCTATCGTCTTTCCATTATACCAATTTTCCAAATGCTTCTCTTTCACTGGCTATGTGTTATTGCCTTCATATATCCTCTTGATTTGAAGATGTTAGCCTTGGTAAGATATTGAAAAATAAGTCTTCTGTTCAATATCCCAGTAACTTCTTTATGTCTGTTAGTTTCCAGCCACGGCGTCATTAGTGAACATTATGACTGTTTACTGGAATCAGGAATAAATACAGAAGAGTTCAGTTCATTCAACAAACACTTATGATGTGTCTATACCAGGAGCTGGGGTAGGTTTTAGAGTACAAAATGAAGTGACCATCTGTTTTGTCTCAAAATGTTCATCATCTATCACTCTGTCTCTGTTATTTAGAATTATTTTATTCACTTGCTTTTCTCTGTTCACTATCTGAAAGATCTCATACCTACCTGGCTTCTTCATATTTTTCTTCACTCTTTATCTTGGTAATAACTTTCTTTTTAATCACACTCAACACCCCTTACATAAGTATATAAGAATATGACTTGAATATGACTTGAATATGACTTGTAACTTAACACTCCCTCCCCAAAGCTTTCGGTTAAGTGAAACGAGTTATAAATATTTAACTATTTGAATTCCTATGAATTACTCTATCCTAACCATTACTAAAAGAATTCCATCATATTATCAATGAGTTAGCTTGGGGGGGTAGCAGTGCTCCCAAATAACTGATTAATTTTATATTCATTTCCATTTAATTGGTGATATGTTCTTACTTGCTTAAAAAAGAAGAAATGGGGGTTAAAAAGATAGTACAGTAGGTGACGTACTTGCCTTGCATGAAGTCAACTTGGGTACAATCTCCAACTCAAGGACCCTGAGCTCTGCCAGGAGTGATCCCGGAGCACAGACCTAGGAATAAACCCTGACTACCATCAGGTGTAACCCTAGAAAAATAATAACCAAAAAAGGTAGAAAAATAATCACATTTGAAAGCAGAAGAGGTATTGAATGACATATGCTACATTTATATTTCTTAAGAATTATTTTGGAAGAAGTTTTGGAATCAAGTCTTGGGAAAAGTCATAAAGTACTTATATTCTTGACCCCTAAAATTAAAAAAAATTATTTCACTTATACTAACTGTAGGAAATAGGAAATTATATGGATTTATCTTTAAGAAAATTAGAGTATCGGGTCCATGGAAGCAAAAACATAAAACATGGAAAATGTTGGAGAATTTAACCATTTTTCTAGATTATTCCAGTTATCTAAGATAATAATTTTATTTCTTAAGAATATGTATCCTTTACCCTGATTTTTATCAATTTACTCTGTTTTTTTTTCTTTCTCAATTATGACTATGTATTCCTATATATTCATTTGAAAATTACTGATATCTTTACTTTCCAGAGTCTAGAAAAACCAAATACTGGCTGTTGAATAAATTATACTCTAAAGACATAGGGGTCACCCTTCTATTTCTTGGGGTGAACTGAAACCACTTCCGATGATGCTCAGAAGACCATGTAGTTCTGGGACTCAAACATAGCACCTTGAACAAGTTAAAAATGTGCTCTAAACTTGGATTGTCTTCTCTGCCCTAAATAGCCAACTTCAACATCTGTGAAAGTACCCTAATCTCTGTCTATATCTTCTAATTAAATACTTTATCCCTAATACACAAGGAAATAATCTTCACATTTAAGTAATACATAGTTCCCTATTCTTTCTCACACTAAATAGAATTGTAATATGATTTCTATTGTTTTTTTAATCATGAACTATTTCAACTATATATTAATATTTTTAAAAATCTAACTTGTGTTCAATCTTGGGTTCAGTATGGACTTATGCTATATATAGCAACATATTATGAAGAAATACGTTTTAAGATTAACAAATAACTTCTTACCATATAATTACCTTGGAGCTGGAAAATATTCCTAACAAAGTAGGTTTTCATGTGTGGATATTTTAAACTCAGATTTGTTAATTTATAATTTTACAACATTATAGAATATTTCCTTTTAGGGTTATTTTGAACTTGTAGTTTACCTAATAAGTAGTAAGTCACATTATTTTCAACATATAAAGTACATAGCTATTTTAATACTTTGTGTTGTGAATAAATTCTGAGTACTCAATGTTATTTTTATAGAAATTAAATATGACGATGGTAATCAAATAGCCCAATATGTTTGGTCATTAAAATATAAATTGACTATTTTTATTGGATAGCAATTGGCCTGCTAATTTCAACTAGGTTATCTATACCATATTACTGCATCACACTTTAACCATGCTATATTCTATTGACTATGAGTATTTGCCCTCTAGCATTTTTTTCAGAGTTTCTTTTACTTCTGTGTTCCTCAGACTATAGATCAGAGGGTTAAGCATGGGGATTACAAGACTATAAAACACAGAGACCATTTTGTTATACTTCCATGAATTTCCTGCTTTAGGTTGCCTTACATACATGAAAAATAATGTCCCATAGAATATGATGACCACAGTGAGGTGAGAGGCACAAGTGGAAAATGCTCTGCATTTGCCTGCAGAAGACTGGATTTTTATAATGGAGTAAAGGATGCAAATGTAGGAGATGAGGACAGTCAAGAGGGAACCAGTGAGATTCACTGCAGAGAAGATCAAGAGCTGCTTCTCTTTGTTTTGGGTGTCAGAGCAGGAAAGAGCTAAGAGAGGAGGATCAGCACAGTAGAAATGGTGAATGACATTGGAGTCACAGAAAGACAACTGGAAAGTCAAAACTGTCTGTATCACAGAGTTGAGGAAGCCATATGTATAGACCCCTATCACCAATTCCTTGCATACCCGCTGGGTCATAATGGCTGTATAAATCAGGGGGTTGCAGATAGCCATATAGCGGTCATAGGCCATTGTGGCCAAGAGGAAGCATTCAGTGGTGGCAAAAGCACTGGAGAAATAAAGCTGAGCAAAACAGCCAGAAAAGGAGATGGTTTTTTTCTTCACCAGGAAATTTTGCAGCATCTTGGGTCCAATAGAAGATGAGTAACAAAGATCAATGAATGCCAGGTGACTGAGAAAATAGTACATAGGGGTGTGGAGTTTTGAATCCACTTTGATGAGCAGGATCATGCCAAGATTTCCCACCAGGGTGATGAGATAAATGGCCAGGAACACCACAAATAGGGGAAGCTGAAGTTCAGGGCGGTCTGTGAATCCCATGAGGACAAATTCTGTCACTGTAGTTCGATTGCCTCTTGCCATTTTGTTCTCTTGTTGGGAAAAAAAAAACAGAAATAATGGCTTCAAAATAATTCTCTACTAAAAAAAGTTCTCTTACATCTTTAGTTGATTAGCAGTAACAGAAATTTTACTTCACAATCCAAGTGGTTAGTGAGTACATTAACTCTGCACCTGGATTTTGCTAAAATAGACTCAGAAAAATCTGAGTTAGTTCATTTGCTTTTTAAATAGAGATTAAAAAATTGATCACTAAGTAGCACCAGGTCACATTCTCAATAATATAATACAAGAAGACCGGTCCCATAAACCCAGTTTTATGAAATTTTAAACTTTTCTCACTGTGATGGCAAATCTTGGTAACTCATATCCTCTTGGTTTGTGTGCGTATTTTGTATTTATGAGTAGGGTTAGTATTGTCCCAATTATTTGCACATGAATTTTTTCTTTCAATAAGTAGTTAATTCAGTTCCTTTGAAAATTTTTCTATTAAGTTGTTGATTTTCTAAGCATTTTCACTCCCAGAGGCTCTTTCTTTATTAAGAAAACCAGTCATCTGATAATACATGTACTGCAAATTATTTTTAATTTTGTCACTTGTCCTTTAATGCTAACATGTTGGTTTTCTCTGTGTATCATGAAGTTAATTTTAAATGCTTTAATGTTGAGTCTATTAATCCTTATTTATTCATTTTTACATTTGTTGAGTTATATAAATCTTCCTCAGTGTGAAATTATTTTAAAATAATCTCATTCTACACTAGAGCTTTATTTGATTTCATTTTTGATATCTAAAATAACCAACTTTTGTTTATTTATTTCTCCAAATGGCTAGCCAGATATTCAAAAATAATTTTCTGGTGAAATCACCTTCTAGTAGATTCAAAACTCTGGTATTATATAGTAAAAATTCATTAGTACTTAGTTCACTGCATAATTCTTGTTTGCTGTTGGGTCTCTTCTACTATAAGACATTTAAGTACAGTAATTATATAACATTTAATTTCTTGCAGTTTTTTTCTGGCTATTGTCGAACATATATTTTTCTAATTGAAGAGTAGCAATATTTTATCAAGTTCCAAAAGAAAACCCATTTGTACTTGGAATGCTAGTTCATTGAGTCATTTAGGGAAAAATGACATCATTACCAACTTAGTCTTTTCTGTATTCCATTTATTAAAGACTTTCCTAAATAGTTTGAAGTTTTCTTTAATCTCTATAGATAACATTATATGTATTTATTTAAAATGTATTCCCAGATAGCTTATCATTTTGTAACTATTGTAAAAGAAAATATTTTTCTTTCTATAATTTAAGTATTGATTCTATAGGGGAAGATGATAGAGTAAAAATAATTTTGAACATACTCCTTATCATTGTTTACTATCATTAAAATTTAAAAACGAATTCTTTTGATGTCCTCAAATACGAATTCATTAATATAAAATTATGTAAATTTCTCCTTGCATTTGTATTTCTCTCCTTTATCTATTTGCTTTAACTAGTATTTCTAGTGCAATGTTTAAAAGTAGTACCAAATTTTTACTTTTCAACTTCTTGAGGGCTTCAGGAATGCAAGGATACTCTTTGGACTATAGACAATGAGACTACCCTGTGCAATACATCTTACAATTGCATCGAAGGGCTGCATATATTTGATGTAGTTAAAATCATCCATCCTTGGAGAGACCTGTCCTTGACATTGACCAGGCACAGGGTAAGAATAATAAATGAAGGTCCACATATTCTATTTCTTAGTATTTAAAAGTTTAAAAATGACTATAAATTAATAAAATATGTTCTATCTTCCCTTCACAACAAATGTCTATAATAACTTGGTTGATAGACTTGAGATGACTGTATTTCTTTCAGATTCTTGGGCTGAGAGTATTAGAAGCTGTCTTTGGACCATATAAGGGAGTATACACATATGTAGGTGGCAGTCAGTAGGTTCACATTCCCACCACCACCCTAAACTGCCATTCCTTTACTCCTTAAGTTTTTTGTATGGTGTTGGAGGGCGGATGCCTGTCTGTGCTCAGAGCTTTCTACTGGCTGTGTACTCAAGGATCACTCCTGGTGGATTTAGGGGACCGTATGGAGTTCTGGGGATCAAACACTGGTTGGTTGCATGCAAAACATGTGCCCCTGCCCTGCTGCAGTATCTCTACAGCCCCCTTGGCTCCCTAAATGGTTGGGTATGTCACACACACAGGCTATCTGGAAAGAGATTCTAGACTCTAGGAGTAAGGCTGAGAGAGGAAAGAATTTTAGGGTCTAGTCAGATAATCTAGAAGGGTGATGGATGGACTCTAGGTATCTTTGGACTTTAATTGTGACACACTAGGAAGATGCTCAGAATACTGCCTTTGAGTGTTAAGAAGCATGGCTAGCAATGGCAGAACTACAAGGCTGAGATCTCTTTATATAGGACAAGGTGCTTGACTGGCCTTTGTTAGGAAGTAGGCAGACTTTTTTTTTTTTCTTTTTGGGTCACTCGGGTTACTCCTGGCTTTGCACTCAGGAATCACTCCTGGCAGTGCTCAAGGGACCATATGGGATGCTGGGAATCGAACCCAGGTTGGCCGTGTGCAAGGCAAATGCCCTACCCGCTGTGCTATCACTCCAGCGCCAATAGGCAGACTTTCAAACAAACCGATATGCTCATTGTAAGACGAACGAACCCCCCCCCCCCCAAAGGCAACCAATGGGTTAAAAAAGAGAACTTCAGGGAGGAATAATTGAGCAACAAGTTGTGTGAAAATAGCTAAGAGAATGTCCAAGGAACTGTGAGTATCCTTTTGGGGAAGAGTAAATATGTATGAGAGAAGTTTTACTAGTGAGAGACAAACTTGGTGCAAATGAGGACTTGCCATGTTATGGAGAGTTTCAAATATTCTGGAAACTTTAATAACTAGTTCAGTAGTGAATGTGCATCTATTGAACAGTGCTTAACTGGTGCTCAGTTTTCAGGGAGCTTATCCTGTAGTGTATACAAAGTAGATTCAGGAGAGAGAGGGCAGTCAGTCTGAAAGGTGCCAACTAGGATATTTTCCATGGGGAAAAATGATAAGGGTTTGAAAGAGGGGAATGATGGTATGAATGAAGAAAGGAGAAAGGCATGAGAGATACTCCATGAGCAGTACATCAGTTGATAACTGACTGGGACTTTTAGTTTTTAAGTCTGAGAAATGTGGATAATGATAGATGAAGAGACTGTAATTTAATTTTTGTCTTTTTTTCCAAAGGAGAAGTACTACAATTTAAACATGTGCACACCAAAATTATTTTTATAGAAACAAATAGTTGAAGAATTTTTCCCACTGTGTTTATTTACCAATGTTACTGTGAGGTAGTACTGTTCACTCAGGCTAAGCAAAAAAGCCTGAATTAGGAGTGTAGTAGACATAAGGGATGCTGAATTCTGTTTGAGGTTGATGCTGGGTATTTATCACAAAATCAGAGTTAGTAAGTCTAATTTGGGTTATGTCAATGCACAAATGATGTTGACAGTGGTGGGAATCACTATCAGTCTAGGATAGAAAAATAAGTAATAACAAGGTTTCAAGGATAGACCTTAGGAAAAGTTCATCTTTACTGGGTGGGGAAGAGGAGCAGCAGTTTGGGATGTCTTTTCATACCCAGGTAGCTTATGTTAGGAAAAATAAGGAGCCATTTAATGTGGGCATTTTCTGACACTTGTTGTTCATATCACTGTCACTCTCCTCCTGTTGTTCATCGATTTGCTTGAGCGGGCCCAGTAATATTGTGAGACTTTTTACTGTGATTGGCATATCGAATACATCACGGGTAGCTTGCCAGGGTTTGCCATGAGGGCGAGATACTCTCGGTAGGTTGCCAGGCTCTCCGAGAGGGGCGGAGGAATCGAACTCTGGTCAGCTGTGTGGGCCGCATGCAAGGCAAACAAACGCCCTACCCTCTATGCTCTTAATACAGCCTGACTTTTTTTTTTTAAATTTTTTCTCTGCTTGTCTCTTTCTTCTCCCCCGCTCTGTTTCTTTCTGTCTCTGTCTCTCTCTGGCAGAAACTTTCTCATACATGCAGTGCATGTGTTCTACTTCTAAGCCGTATTTTCTGATTTCTCTTCTCTGTTAATAATGGCTAAAAACAAAAGCAAATGGTGAGAAATTCAAGAATCATACATGAACAGTATTGCTCAGTAAATTGATTCCTGTTCTGGATTTTGTGAAAACAAAAAGAGTAAAAATATTCTTTTGGTTCATTTCTATAACTGATCAGGTTTTCTTCCTTTAAGTTATAATGACTTTCACTTCAAACAAAGAGGTGGGCAGGCTCAGTACTCTGGAAGTGCCTCCCAAGCCAGAGGATAGACTCCAGACTACTTCCAAACCCCTTGAGATAGAAGATTTTAACTTACATGTTAACTATTGTCAACTTGGCTGAACATTTGCAATAAAGTTTCTAAGATGTTTCTAAGTTTCTTAAATCTAATGTTAAAATTTTTAGATTAAAATATTTTTCCATTGCTAATATATGTAAAATTGGTTTTTGCATCTCAAATACTTATACTCAGATGCCTATAAAATTGTTTTTTGCTTTCCAAAAACCTTCTATCTAGATGCCTTTTCTGAACAGTTTTCACTCATATTTGTATAGTCTCTTCTTCATTGCTATGTTTGAAACTTATGGATATTATCAGTGTTTTATTGACTAGTTTTTAGACTATAACTAGGTATAACAATAAGTTCCTAGAAAAATCAAAGTATTAAATGATAATCATCAGACTTGTAATTTTCTACCTAAGAGAATATTTATGATTTCTTTTAAAAATTAAAGGCTGGGACTAAGGTACACACCAAATCAATGATTATGTCAGTGGTTGTCTAAATATTTTAATGTGCTTAGAATGATTTTATTTTACATAAATTATTTTATTTTGTATAAGGATAATTTTCTTAATGTGAACACTGCAACAAAAATATTCAGTAGATTTCCAAATTCAAGTAGTCAAACCATTGTTTGATATCAGTTATGATACTTAT